AGGGGTCAGGAGCCCATTGCTGGGGGTGGGAGCAGCAGCATAGTACGATACTCACTGACCCAAGCAGATGACCTTGGCAGGTATCCAGTCTCTGACCCTCACCTTCCTACTTTATAAAACAAAAGTAATATGGCCTCCACCTCCCTGGGTGCCCTGTTCCTAAGCTCTTCATGAGAAGAGACATGGACATGCGACAGCGACCCTGGCACAAGAAGAGGTGCCCGGAATCTGCTCACACCCTGAGTACTTCATAATCTCCATGGAGACAAGACTAAAAAATGAGAGGTTTCCCTGGTCTCAAGGTGGCCAGCCGGCCTGGCTTGCCAGAACCCAGGTCTTATTCCTCGTGACCAGCTAGACCTGGGGACACTGTGGCATAGAAGGGTTTGCCATGGAAGACAATATTCTCAGTATGAGGAAGTACACGTGAAAAAGTTCCCTTGGCCAGGAGTTGGGAGAAGGGAAGCCTCCCCCAGCTCAGTAGCCACCTAGAGAGGCCACACACCTTCAGGAAGCCTGCCTAGGGCTGCAGGATTTGCCAGAAAAAGCCAGACCTCTCTCCTGTGCAGGGCTGGGCCCTAACCTACATCCGTACTCTTTTCCCTTGAATCTTCCTGGGGGATCAGCACAAACAGAGGGTCATTTGCCACTGGCCTCTGCTTCTCCAGGAGAAGGCAGAGATCCAGTTTCCCAGGATGCATAGCTGGGCCTTGCAAATTGCTTCTTGACCACCAGCGTTCCCCAACTCGATTTATTACCATGTAGAAATCCTTCTAGGCTGACAGTCCCCACTCTGCAAGAGGGGAGGGCTGGTAAGAGCATTTATCCCCAAGGTGAGTCTAAAGGGGCAAGAGAAAGTCCCACAGAAATAGGACTCTCTCAAATCCTACCCCAATTCCCCTCCCCTAGCTCCACAGCCCCAAGCCAGGCCTCTGAAAGTGGAAGCCCCGACCATCATGGGAAAGGCTGGGTATCATCCAAGTGACCCCACATCAGGCCACTGAGGCTCTGTGGCCAAGTCTGTTTGTCTGTGCCCTGGTGAGGAACCCCACGGACTGGAAGGAGACAGTGAGCACATTCATCAGGAGCAAAGGACCTGATGCAGGCTCAGGAACCCCATGCTCCACAGAGGACACAGGACCACATGTATTGTGTGTGTGTGTGTGTGTGTGTGTGTGTGTGTGTGTGTGTACAGGCAGGAAAAGGGAGGTTCAGAGGCCTGCTACCCAGCCCCAACCACTGCCCCCTCAGTGTGGAAAGCCCTAAGTCTGAATCTCCCCATACACCAGTGACCTACTGCCAGGAGTAAGTCCAGCCTGGACAGCAGACGGGACACCTGGGGAAAGCTGCACTCCATCCCCCACTTCCAGGGAAGCACCCCACCCCCACAGTTGGTCAGACAGACATACAGACAGGCATAGCTCCGTGCCCTGGAAGACCCAGAACCCAGAGCCCAGAGCCCAGCATCTTGGGGCACGTACCTCAAACTCCTCACCCCTCCCCAGCTGGGCACTCCCAAAGCTGAAGCTTCCCGCTCTGACGATGGGACCTTCAAAATTGGCCTCCACTCTCACCCCAGAAAACAGTGATCCCCTGTGTTCCCTGTACAAGTCATTGTTGTCCTCCCTGACTGTAGCTTCCCCACCCTCCCCCACCACATCCAGACACATACCAGGGGCTCCTGGGCTCAGGGATGGGGACCCAGTGGGGGAAAAACCCTACACTTTGAGGCTAAGGAAGAAAAAAGACACTGTAGTTAGAGGTGGAAGAGAACTGCCAAGGCAACAGGAATCCTGCACTTTAGGGTACGGACCCCACAAGACCCTATCTCTTCCCTGCACTGTCTCGCTTCCCTCTGGCAATGCTGCTGCCTAGCTCTTTGAAGCCGAAAGTAGCTTATAACTGTCCTGGTTGGAGGTGAAACATGATAAGACATGAAGCCAGGGGCTGAACCATGAATAGTCTCTGAAGTTTTACAAGGACCAAATCATGCCTGGAGACAGGCGCTAGGGGTGGTGGGTGAGGGGTTGGGGAGAAAGGAGCTTATCTGCAGGTAACCCTCAGGCCCCTCCCCAGCAGCCCCCCTCCTGTCTGCCACAGGAGGCCCACCAACTGTCTTCCCCGTGAGTCTTGCCTCTACACTCATTAAGCAGAGTACTAGTAACCCAGGGCCAGGGTAGGGTGATAGGTGGTCCTAGGGTCCCTTCATTCCCCAAACCAGGGGCACACTCATGCAGATGGGATGCAGTGGGAGTGGACAAAAGGCAGTACAATTTGATATACCTACATTCATCTGGTGTTACTACGTGCGGCCTCCCAAGGGCTTGGCAATTGGGAAAGGAAACGAAATAAATACACCCTAGTCACTGGTATTGAGGAGCTGTTGACCTGGGCTGGGGTAGGGTGGAACCTGCAAGGGGATAGCAAGAACCCAGTCTGTGCACACATGTGGGAGACCTCCCCAGGACCCCTGCGGTGAGGGGGAAAGAGGGAATGGGCTGGGGTGGGGTGGCCCACTGGGGAAGGGCCACCAGGAAAGGCTTCTAGGAGGATTCTGGCACATAAGGGGTAGGGGATGAGAAAGAAGAAAAAGCAAATTCTAGAAGACAGGAACACAGGGGCATGTTTCCAGAATGGACTCTATCTTGTCAAGAGGCTCAGCTGCTGAAGATGCAGGGGGCGTGGGTCATAAAAACAACATAGTTACAATAAATAATGCTGCTGTCATTCATGGAGTGGAAAACCAAACTGGAGAGTTGGGGTCTGCGGACCCAAGCAAGCAGAGTCCGTGGTTACCACTGAGGGAAGTTCCCTGGTCTGATGACTCCTTTGCAAAGGCCACACTGATTGGAAGAAGCTACCTAAGAGCTGTCGCTATTGGGGGGAAGACAAATGGGCACAGATGCGATGGGAGGAGGAACCTCGGAGCCGGTCCCCGCAGTGGCATTTGAGAGCAATTTGAGTGCAATTTGAGAGCATGGGAGGGCCGCTAGGAGAGGAAGCCAGAGCTTCAGTGCAGGTGAGCCTCACACAGCTGCCCTGGAGAATGGGCTGGGGCCGGGAACCTTCTACCTCCACCCGTGCCCCCCACATTCCATTCCCATTCCCACCACCTGTTCTGTTTCCACCGCCTGTTCCTTTCCCCCACCACCCATCTCTGTTCCTCTTCAGCTGACTCTGGGCCACCCGGCACTTCCGTGAAGCCCGCCAAATGGGGCCCCGACTCTACCGGCCCCCGCACCTTCGGACGTCAAGAGGCCTCAACCTGTCTCCCCGCCACCGATTGTTTGACAACGCCGCGGGGGGCCTGTCGCCCCTGAACCCCAAGCCCCCTGGAGCCTGAGGGAACTGCAGTGGGGCGGAGCGAGCGCGCCCCCTGCTGGTCAGTCCTGCTCACGGTCCCTGAGCCCACTCCCTCGAAGGGTCCTCGAGAACCCGAGGACCCGGAGGAAAGTCATCTCGCTGGGCTCCTACCAGGACCTCATTCGGGGGTGGGCGCACAATGGCCCTCATCTAGTTTGGCAACTCCCCCGGGCGCACGCTCCAACTTGCCTCCCTTACCCTCAGGCATAGGCAGGGGCTTCCCACTGGACCTTCCCCGAGCCACACCTCAACCAGGGTCAAGGCTCACCCTGGCATTTGTCATTCAGAAAAGAAAGCTGTGGATGAGCAAAAGTCCCAAGCATTGTCAATTCACTCTTCCATTCTGTACTGAAGGAAGCATACCAGGGTTCTTCCTTAAGGCATCCTGGTCTCCCCTCTACTCCAGGCGTTCTGGGTCTGTAAACTGGCTCTAGTCTGGGGATTGATTGAGGAGTCATGACTCTGTTTTATGGTTCAAGTTAGACTTTTGTTCACTTGACCTAGAATGATTCTGTTTATACAGATGAAGTAAAAATTCAGTAGGCTTCCCATCTATTTCACTTTTAGGGACATCATGATCAGCTAGCCCATGCCATTACTGCTTTGACTCTGCTGTCTGTTCAGGTAAACACACCCACCTTGTCTTTGGCCATTAAGTGCACCTCCACTTGGACACCGACATCTCAGGATCCAATGACAACATTGAGTTAAGGTTTCCCAATTCCACAGCAGCAGCTCTCGTGTAAGTTCTGGCCTACACTGAAGAGTGATCACAGAGCTCTTCTGGGATGCTGGGGCTCCCCTCACAGCCACGGTAAAAGGTGTGTCCCCCAAACACTCCCAGGGTGGGTCTTAAATGACAAATCCACTATAACATTCCTATCTGCCCAAGCCTTTGGATATCCTTCTCTGGAGTGGACCAAGACAGATCTGGCATTTCAGCTCGATTTAGTGTGGGCCTCCTTCGGGCCAGGTTTCAACCAACTAAGCAAACTGTTAGAACCCTTTCTAACCTCAACATTAAAGTCTCTGCTCAGTGAGCCACTATCAATAAATTCAGCCTGCTCCAACGTTATGTTCTTCCCACCATTATCCCACCCCCTTAATATTTATTCCCACACACGTTCCCCAGATTTGTCAATACAAATTGCAAAAATCATGTGGTTCTTTGGGAGTATAGCACACCTGTCTGTGGGTCACGTTTCGCACCTCCCCCCACGGGGCCTGGGGCATGCCGAGTTTGCCCTTGCATGTGCTGTGCCTCTGCCTGGGAAGCTCTTCTCCTTGCTTCTCTCACCCATCACTGCTGGGTTGTGATGACCGTTCCTCAGCATCCCCCTCCCTGACTACTGGAGGCAAAGCACCAGCCCTCTAATCATCCCGTCCTCAAACCCTAGCATCATTACTCTGCCATCGTTGCTCACAGCCCTTCTCGTCATCTGACATGAATTTACTCTTAACTATGCCATGAGACCTTGAGGGCCCCATCTCTCACGCACATGGCTGCATCCCCAGCACTGACGCTAGAACCTGGCATGGAGCAAATGTTCAATAAATATTTGTGGAAAAAACAGAATGTGCAAAGCCTGACCCTTGTATCCTGGCATCTCTGCTGCTATTAATAAACAGAGCAGGACTGGATTTCATTTGTTTATTCACATCCTCCTAATTACTCCCGATAGGATTCACAATGGGAAGGAGGGCTTCAGCATCACCCACCTCCCAGATTGCAAGAGATTTAGCACATGTGCAGGTAAGAGTGGTCACTGTGCCCTGGGAAGCTGTGGACTGTAGGCTGTGAGCTCCAGAGCCCCCAACCTTGTGTAGTCAAGGTAATGAAGCAATAGAGGCTTTCTTAAGCCCATGTGAGGCAAGCAGCAGGCACACAGATTGTGAAACAGTGTTCAGGGTTTCTATTCTCCTAACTAAGAGACCAAAGGTCTGTCCCCTCTACCCACTCTGACCATAGGTCACAGATCATCAACACTCTGGCTGCCTAGAAGGGTTTAACCAGAATGAATCATGCAGTGACTGAGGCTGGAGCAGCCAGCTAGGAACTCCTCCATTTGCATTCTGGCCCCCAGCACAGCTTGAGGGAGATGGGCACCAGCTTTGCTGAGAGCCAGCTTTGGTGAGGGCTTAAAATTGGACCCCATAGGGGCGAGTCCCAACAGGCAAGGAGGGGGTACTGGACTGAGGAGAAGTAAAGGTGGGGCACGTCGCCACTCACAGATGAGCCAGGCCTAGAGCCCACCTCCTTGAAGCCAAGATGAGCTAAAAGCTGGGCACTCCAGGCCCATCCTGGCAGCAGGATATGAGCCATAAGTGGCCAACTAGTACTCTTCCCAAGGAGACCCAGTGCAGAGCCAAGGCCTCGTGAGCCTTCCTGATGTTTCAGCCACCCCCCATTCCCTGTTTGAATGTCTGGGGTTCAAATTCCAAATTAGGGTGGCCAGAGCGTGGTCACCACGCAGTACCCATCTGAGGAGGCTGAGAGCTGCCCACCTACTTCCCCTGGGAGGCAGCATTTTCTTTGTCTGAAAGAAAAAGAGAAGAGAGAAAAATCAATCCTTGCTCAATTATGTTTCAGACACCATTCTCTGGGTTAACCCCCGCCACTCCAGCCTGCAAGCTGACAGAACTAGGAGGACCCAGACATCCAGCTTAGGGGAGTCTGTGTGCCCCATCATAACCCAGAGCCGCTTCTTCCTGCATATGGACAGAAGACGAATAACTACAAAAGGACAAAAGCATCATCGCACCTTATCATGCATGAGCCCCTAGTTTAACCCTCAGTGACAGCAGCAAGCAGGTGCTGTCAGCAGCCCCATTTTACAGAGGATGAAACAAACTAGGGACTGGCCACAGTTTTGCAGGTGGCAAAAGTGGTGCTGGGATTTGAGCTACAAGGGTTTGGGAGGAGTCCTGAGGGTGGCTGATTGTGCAAACAGACGTGCAGTAATGTGTGAGCATGTGTGTGAGCAGGAGAACAAAGGCCAGAGAGGAGGCTGAGCTCAGATAAAATGCAGGAAAAAGAACTACAGCTCCCGAAAACAAGCTACAAATAATAATACTGCCAACAGGAGTGCATATTTGAGCTATTACTATGTGCCAGGCCCCAGGTGCAGGCCCCTGGTCCTCAGCTTCCACCCAGCCCTGCCTCCCATTCCAGTAGAGGGAAGAGCCAGGCTTCTGGAGAAAACCCTTTGCCACACCCATCTTCATATGTCCCTTTTGGGGACACATGCAATCAACTGGGCACAGGAGGCCAGACATCTGCTGCCCTGTCCCTGTCCTGCAGCTGTCTTTTGGGGTGGTTGTGGGCAGTCCTGAGCAGTATGCTTTGGTGCCCCCATGCTTTGTCACTGTAAGTGGATGAAAACAGTGTGCCACCTGCCAGGGGCCTCTAAAAAGTATGACAGACCTGTGTCCAGCTGCCTGATGACAAGCTCACCTTTAGGGACAAACTTCAGCGAGCTGCTGAATATTCAGAAGCGTGACTGCCCCTGCTTGGGGCCATCATTCAGGAACTCGTGGCCCAACCCATTGCCACACTTGCCACAGAAGACCTTGGAAGAGCACAAAACAGCCACATGAGCTTCCAGCCAAAAAAACAGCTGTCGCAATGCCCTCTCCTGCCACCAGCACACGACATCCTCCCCAAGCCCATTTCCCAAGGTAGCTGCTGGCAGGCGAGGGCCGATCTCCATTCTGGAGCCTGGAAAAGAAAGTCGTCCTATTTCCCTGTTCTCACCAGGACCTCGAGCTCTCCCAACAATTTGAGGTGGCAACTTCCCTGGCTGAGGCCAGATGCCTGGGATAGACAGATTCTAAGCCCTTAGAGCTGTGGGGGGAGCAGAGGAAAAACGGGGTGGCCTACATCCCCCTTCCCACCCCCTGCTGTTACAACTCACCTTTAAGGCTTCAGGCCGACCGTGCTCTGGATGCTTGACCACACTGTCAGCATGGATAGTCTCGGTGAAGGCTGGCCATGGAGACGAGTGAGCATACTTTGCATGGCTAGAGAAGAGCTCGTAGCCACACTTGGCGCACACGTACATACCTGGAGGCAGAAACAGAGATGCTGCTTCTTTGGTGTGAATCCTTGGACCTCATATAACACAGCACTCTCCCCCCTCACAGAGTGGGCTGTACACCCTCCCCACACCCCCACCTGGGTAATGGCTTTGGGAGGCAGACACCACTGAGCTCACATTTGGTGGTTCTTGGTATGTGTCAGAGATCAGGAGAGTCACTTTTTACCATTATCTCATTGACTCTTCTCAACAGTCCTGTGATGCAGACCCATTCACTGAACAGGTGAGGAAGCTGAAGCTCGGTGATACGAGAGACTCAGGTAGGTGTGCAACCAAGAAGGAACCCAGGGGTCTGAAGAGGACATAGTATTCCCATTCCTCACAGGACCCACACAGTGGGGGCTCTGACATAGCCAGCACCACCACCTAGCCCCTCTCCCTTCCAAAGTGGCTGTCCTGCTGCCCAGCGAAGCCTTGAGCTAGATTCCCATCCACAGTCCTGCTCCCCCTGGCTGAAGAGAGTGGTCTCAAAGAAAAGGCCTCCAGGCCAGACGGGACACAGGAAGACAGGACCAGGGAGAACAGATTTTAACCTATCCTGAAAAGATCATTTTGAGAGCTGAAAACAGGGTTGTGCAGAACCGGAAGCAGGTACCCCTTACCCACCGCCTGGCCTGAGGAGAACCTTCCTTGGAGTTCGTGAACTACTCGGTCTTTACCAGTAACTGGAGGAGGAAGCAAAGAGGAACCAGGAGCTGCTGTAGGAGTGGAGTTACCACTGCTGTCTTGGCAGATCAGCCTTAAGTTCCCACAGCCAGAGGGTCTCAGAGGAGGGCTTTGCCCAAAGTGTCCTATGTCACAGCTGATATCCATGGATGCTCAGTGTCAGAGCCTAGCCCCCTAGAAAGGTGATACCCAACAGACCCCACCCTAGGTAAGTCATTGCTCTAGACTTGCCTGTGGCATGTTTTTACCAAATTAGTCCATCACCAGGCAGCACAGACGAGAAGGAGACTCATCAGGACTTCTTAAAGCCTGGGACCAGGATTGAGGGCTGCCAAGTCACAAGCCACTCCCAACCCCACTACTCCCACCCTGCCCAGGCTGTCGGGTCAAATTTCACTACACTGGTCACTAGTGGTCTAGCGGAACTCCTGTTTCCCAACCCCAGGGCCCTGAGCGGGGTGGGAAAAGGTGGGAAAATCACCTAGACCAGCACAATCTAACTCAAACAGGATGTTCAGCGCTTGCTGGCTTACTCCACAGGTGCCGGAAAGAGGGGAGGGGAGGTGAAAGGGCAGGGGTCACAAAAGAGAGAGGTAGCAGCTGCGAGGAGGGGCAGCCCTATCACAGGAGTTGCCCCGGAGCAAGACCTTCCACTGGGTTCCTCTTAAGTACAGATCCTAAACCGGATCTCCCACCACCCCCATGTACACTGACCCCACAGATTTTTCCCGGAAATAGCCACGCTCACACTCAGTCTTTCCTCCTCGAGAGAGTCTCTAATGTCCTCCTCCCCTCAGGTACCTCTACTCTCCGAGGCCCCTAGACTCCTCCCTCCTCCGTGATCCCCTTTATATGCGCTCCTTTCCACGCGGCCCCACTTGCCTCTGCCCCACTCCCGGAGCTCCAAGTCTCCATCACCACCCAAGGGCAGTGACGCCCCGTCGAATGTGCGCCCCCTCCCAGCTGCTCTCCCGGAAGATCACAGGTTGTACCCGGATCAAAGTGGTTCTGGAAAACCTCGCCCCCGAAGAAGCTGCAGAACGCCATGGCGCCAACGGGACCGCTGCACGGTCGTGGTTGCTTCAGCTCTGAGACCACCGACCTCTCGTTCACCGCCAGACCCCGAACCACGAGGCACCGCCCCCTCCAGGGGACCAATCACTTCCAGGAACGCCGAGACAACCCCCCCCACGGGGCCCGCCTCCAGAGGGCCCGCCCCTTCCCGCGTACCAATCCGGGCCAGAGTTCCGGTTTCTTCCTACCAGAAGCCCAGCACCCTCCCGACGACCTGCCGGCGCACTTCAACGCTTGTAGGCCCTGCCCACCGACAACTCCTAAGAACCACTCCTGTGCTGCGTCCCCGAGACCCAGCGCCAGGGGGCGCCACTGAGCGGCGCTGGGTTTTGGGACGGCGGCCGAACAGCTTGTGCTCTCTCCCCGCCCCGGCGCCAAGTCCCGTGCCACAGGCCTTCCACCGGCTTTTCCAGGCCCTCAACTCAGACTCCGCGGGAAGAGTTGCCTCCAGCCTTTATTAGACAAAGGGGACAGGCGAGGGTCGCCCGCGCTCCTTCCAGGTTCCCTCCATCCCAAGCCGCCTACAAGTCTCCTGAGGTCTCCGGCTTTTCTTTCTCAAGATGCTTCTTCTGGGGACCCTGTGCGGGGGCGGAAGGTGGGGAGCAGGAGGAGCCTTAGTCACAGGGGTCTGGCTCAGAATACTCTCTCTGGCCAGCCTCCCGAGTCACCCAGAGGCGGCCCTGCTGACCCGTCCCACCGTCGTCCCTCCCCTCTACCTTCTTTCAAAGCAAGAATCAATGCCCAGGGCTGGGCTCCGAAAAGCCCCCTCCTGTGGATGAGTGTGGGAGCATCCCACCACCCCAATTTGAGCTTCCCACTCTGGAGCAAGGAGATGTGAGGTCTGAGCTCCAGAGAACGGAGAGGGACTCACCATGAAGGCCCTCTTCTCTTGGGCTGTCTGGAAGCGGCCATGTCCAAACTTTGAGGTGGTATCAATGAACTTGAGTTCAATATTCTCCAGGGCCCGGCGGCTGTGGTGCACCAGTAGGGACTGGGGATCCATGGGAGAGGGGAGCCTCAAGATGGAAGTCCCCACCCCCTCCAGTAACCTCCAATTCACCTGTCCATCTTCTGCCAGAACCCCTCTGTTCTTGCTGTCCTCATCCCCATCCCCCTTCAGAGTAGGCTGAGGAAAAGACAGGATAGCCACCCACTCCTCCCAAAGCCCATGAGGCTCCTGCTCCCCAGCTCCCCAACCCACTGCCTGCCCTGACCTTCCTCAGTGTGATGACCCGCTTCTTGGTTCCCGCGATGCAACCCTTCAGCATGACGAAGTCGTTGTTGACCTCCCCATAGTGAGGGAAGCCACCCTGTGGGGAGGTGGGTCAAGGTCCAGACTGAGTTAGAAGGCAGCTGTGAACCCTGGGAGAACTCCCATGCTGGGCTATAACTGGAAGGAGCCAGTGCTGACTGCTGGCCAGGGGGTGACACCTCCTATCACTGATCAAAGCAGCATCCAAGCCCACCCAAAGTCTTCTGCTGCAGTATTTAACTTAACAATCTGCATTTTACACAGGGGAAACTGAGGCTCAGAACGGGGGAGTCACCTGCTCCAGCACATACTACAGCTGGAGTTCAAACCCAGGTAGCCTGCCTCCAAGGGCACAATCAGAGCTGCTTCATTCTGCACCTCACAACAGCAGCTGGAGCGTAAGCTACCTGCAAAGGAGGCTCAGAAAGTGGAAGAAAGGATTCTTTCCACCAGGCAGCTGCGTGGTGGGGTCTGAGCCCTTGTGGCATCGCAGCACCCCACACACCTGCCCCACACATGCTCATCAGGCCCCCTCAGCCAAGCTGCTCGCCCACCCTCACCAGCGGTGTGATGGACTTGTCCGTGATGTCGTAGCTGGTGGACGCGTTATTCTTAACCAGCTTCCCATCCTCTGTGTGCACCCCCCGGCCAATGCGGTAGATCTGCCAGGAGAACAAGGCACATTGAGGGCAGCAGGTGGCCTCTGGGGCCAGCAGTATGTCCACACCCATCAGCTGTGGCCTTAGAACCAGAAACTGGTGGGTGCATTTCAGAGCCTTTGGGGGGCCAGGCAGTGTCTGGGTCATTTACTCCACCACCTGGGGTCTGGTCACAACATCCCCCCTCACCAGGCCTTTGGACACACCTTCTTATTGAGCTCTGTGCGGTGGTGGTAGCCCTTCTGTCCGGCCCGGGCGATGGAGCAGCCCACACGTGCAGGGTGCCAGGCACCAATGCAGGCTACCTTTCGAAGCCCCTTGTGGGTCTTCCGAGGCAGTTTCTTGGTGTGCCAGCGGCTCGTGACCCCTGCAGGTGGGAGGGACTGTGGTTGAGAAGGCAGTCTGGCCTCCATCCCCTCCAGGCAGCCTTCCAGGAGCTGCCTTCTCCACCAGGTCCTACCTTTGATACCGCGGCCCTTGGTGACAGCGATGACATCAATGACCTCGCTCTGACTGAACACGCTGTGTACCGGCACCTGCTTCTCCAGCCGGGCCTGGGCCCAGGCCACCTTCTCAGCCACTGTGCCACCATTCAGCTGGATCTCCATGATGTGAGCCTTCTTCTGCCGGAAGGGCAGCAGCTTCATCTGCAGGACCCAGCATATCCAGTCAATTCCCAGAGGGTCAAATGCCCATTTGAAGACATGGCATGACCAGCCAGTGATCCTTAGCAGGCTTGCATGCCTACATTCATTCAGCAGATATTCCCGTGCCTGGTCTCGTTATGCGCCATGTCCTGTGTTAGGCACCGGGGTACAGCATAGAATGAAGTAGACAGGGTCTCGGTCCTTATGGGGCCACCATCTAGCTGGGGGAAGAAGCCAAGTGAACTCTTGGAGAGGACGAAGTGTTCTGATTGGGGGTGGAGGCAACAGTGATTGCACGTAGGGTGGTCAGGGAGGGCCTCTCTGAGGAGTGACATCGGTAACGAAAAGGAGCCCCTAGGTTAAGATCTGAGAGCTTTGGGGACAGAGGAAACTGCATGTGTAATGGCCCTGAGACAGGGAAGGTCCTAGGGAGCAGGGGAGACAGAAGGAAGACCAGTGTGTCTAGACCATGGGGAGCAAGGAGGAGGGAGTGCAGGATGGAGTTAGACCTGAGCAGGGGCCTGGCCGAGCAGGTCTTATAAGGAGAAACGGGTTTTATTCCAAGTGTGGAGTCTAATGTAATCTGATTCATATTTTTAAACATCTCTAGCTGCTGCTCCGTGGGGCGCAGGCTAGAAGCAGGGGGAATGCACAGGTGGAAGCAGGAATACAGTTAGGTGATAGCATAGTGTTCAACAATGAGTACTTATGGAGCACCTCCTGCACACAAAGCTTTTGGTGAGTTCTATGGACATGGCGCTGAACAGGCAGCCACGGTCCTTTCCTCAGTGGAGCTCAAGGGAGATGGACATTAACCAATGACACAGGTAACCATGAAATGCAAGTGTGAGAGTAACAGGGTGGGAGATGGGGAGTGTCCCTGCACAAGGCCTATGAAAGGCTTCCTGAGGACTAGGTGCCAAGGAATGTTCCAGAAAAAGCCAGAGAGTAATGTTAGCTCACGTCAAACCAGACCCTAAGTACAAATGTGGATTCACACACACACACTTGTGCCAGAACCCACAGGGAGGCAGCCAGCCGGCCTTCCACACTGGACATTTGGTAGGAAAGCCAAGCCCTTTGGGGCACTTCAGGGCCTTGGTTGACCACTGGGCATGGCTGATGCCCCACAGCCCTCAGAGTGCACTGACCCTCATCCCATTCCTGGATCTGCCAGCAGCCAACGCTTTGGTTCTGTGCCCAGGGCTCATGGTATTTTTAGGCTGACATTTGCCAGGGCTCCTGGAGGCTGGGGTGAAGGAGGGTGAGCCCAGGGGTAAACCAGCTGACTGTGCGTGAACTGGAGCTAGGGGGCTGACCTGGGTGTGGACGATGACCCGAATGACCTTGCAGTACTTCTTCATGGCAGTGAAGTCTTTCTGAAGCTGCTTTTTGCCATCAGCATCGCGCCACCTCTTACAGGCCTTGGTAAAGGCTTTCTTCTTGCTCTTGTGCCTGAGCCACACACAGAGGGTGTTCAGAGAGGCCAGTTGGGGTGGCTCCCCGGGGCCCTGCCCACCTGTCACCCACCAAACATGGATCTTGGAACAGTAAATGTTCCCTCCCTTCCTCCTTTCCTTCCCAGGGGGAAGCCACCTCCAGGCGCTCCCTAGAGTTCTTGGGCTGGCTCCAGTCACCACCTCTAAGCACAGACTGTCCCTCCCTCTTTATTTCCTCAGTTTCTCCCTCTGTAAACTGGGCACTCTCCCTGACTCCTGGGGCCTGAGGTGAGTGGCAGATGTGCAGGAGCTCAGGGAAGGGGCATGTTGGCCACCTGCCCACACTGATACATTCCTGCTGACCTCCCTTCTGAAGCAAACAGCTGGTACACATTCACTGGAACTCCGGGTGGTGGACAGTATTATCCACATTCTACAGATGAAGAAGCCATGGTTCACAGAGGTCAAAGCCCCTGGATGAGGGGCAAGTTGGTAACAACAAAAATAGAGAAAACAAGATCAGCTAGCATTTGCTGATCACTTGCTCTGTGCTGAGCCCTTGATCCACTTTGCTCATCTAATCCTCACAGTAGCCCCAAGATGCAGGGACCACTTGCCCTTTCCCTATGATAGTGTCTGTGGCATGCCTAAAGGTGGCAGGTGACACAAAACTCTAAGACGTCAGCCAGCTTGCCTGTGGTCACACAGCCCACTCTGACTCTAGGGCCCATAAAGGGCCAGAGCTGAGCCATGTCTCTGCCTGAATAAGGAGGGGTGTGTCTGTGAGGTTACTCAGGTGGGGGAAGAGGGGGGTCTTCCCTCTCAGGACTTGTGCCAGGGAAGATTTGAAGCCTGAGAATGCCTTTCTTTCTGGTGAGACCAGCTCATCAGTTGGCTGTTTCCCTTTTCACCTTAGATGCTAGGAAGCTCAAAACCAACTGACATTTCATCACATTAGTTCCTTAATGAACCCTGAGGATTAGAAAACCTGCTTCGCCTTTTCTAGTCCAATTTCCTCTCCGATCTGCTAATACACTTTTACTGATTGAAGGCATCCCTTCACACACACTCATACACT